GGTTCTGACTCATAGCAACCCTTTGTAGGGTTTCTGAGGAATAGCTGGTGGGTTTGAACTGCCAAATTTTATATTCTCTATATATGGAGTCCTGGTGGGGGCTAATGTGTCCGACTGAAAAGTTGTTTGAACTGCAAGGTCCGTTGTTCAAGCTCACTAACTGTTCCTTGGAAACACTATACAGGGTCGCTATGGGTCAGACTCGACTCAACAGCACTTAACAACAACAACAAACATATTTATTATGTTTGTTTAGAATATATTATACACAAACCGAAAATTCAGAGTATGACACAGATCTGTTCCATGAAAGAAGTATAATATTGAGATCAGGCCATACCAGGAAGAAGGAAGTGGCATTGCTAGTAAAGGCCATAGTGGACACAACTTGTGTGGGAAAGAAGAAAGAGACTGGCCTCACTAGAATAGAATGGATGTTGTCAGGTGATGAAGAATAGGTTGCTGAGATACAGTAGGTTTTAGGTGGAAGGTTTTAAGTGCCATGCAGGGAAGTTGGTATTGACCCATAGGCTTCTAGAAGATCCTCGAACTGGTTGTATTGAAGGCAGTGTTTTTACAAAGAAAAAGCAGTGGTTTTCACAGTGAAGGCAGAATATGGGTGATCCACCAGGAGATCTGTATTAAGGCATGATACTGTAATGTTTAGGGTTCTGTATAAACTTGACTAGGCCAGGATTTCCAGAGGTTTAGCAGTTCACATATGTTTATTCCCATGGAGATGAAACCTACTACAGGTATAGTTAGCTCTGTGATGAGCCAGCCAATCAATTAAAGGGATGTTTCCTGAGGGTATGGTCTGCGCCCAATATAATGGACACGCAGGAGGGACTCTTCCTCTCAGGACCTAGGACTCTACAATTGTAAGCAATTTCCTTGTAAGCAACTTCTCTATATACATGGTGGCTCCATATGATAGGCACTGGACTTGAGACCAGCACTTAACAACAGTGAATGATATTTCAACACAAGGAGAAATGAGAATACAATTTGAGAATCAGGTGAGCCAGTAAATGATAATAACCTCCTTTGTTGTTGTAGTTAAGTGCTATTCAGTTGGATCCAACACATAGTTACCCTCTATAGGGGATAAGCGTTGGACTACTAACCACAAAGTTGGCAGTTCAAACCCACTAGTCGCTCCATAGATAACTCCCTTAGATCTGGAAAATTTGAAAAGCACTATTAGTTTGTGACAAAAAAGTGTAACCCCAGGTGTTTGTCAGTGATGGATGGGTAACAAAATGTAATAGTTACATACAATGTAATATTACTTAGCTAAAATGAGAAATGATGTTCTGTTACTTAAAACATCATGCTGAAACTAAATTTGCAATGGCAGGGCTGTGGGACGCTCGGGTTGTGGGGTTAGAATTTGAGGAAAATTGCAGAGGAAAAGTGTGATCAGAAAAAGACCACTTAACATGAGGGTCAGAATATTGCACATGAATAGTGAGAGGTATAAAAGAGATGTGATTAAGATCTGATCTTAACAAGAACATTTTTAAATAAACACAGAAGAAAGTATAGATCGTAAGTACAATTACATGCATTTGTCTTAATATAGAATTACTCAAATCTGTTTTCATGTACCTTTTTTACACAACTGAGTGAGAGTTCCAGCCAGTATCCTTCACTTCACATGGACTCTTTGCTTCATAAACAGTCATACATTTATTTTCTTATTCAGAGATATAGCTTGTCCAGAGTCTCATTTGTTTGTGACTTTGTTTGCATGTAACATGCTACTGTCTGTTGTATTGCACCCTGCATTTTTCACCAAAGGAGCTATTATTTTACTTTGTGGCTTAAAAGGGAGGTAGGAATCAGGCATGATTCCCTGGTTTTTGAGCAGATTTTTTTTTTTTTTTTAATGGTCCTGTATGACATTCAGGACCATGAAAACAATGAGAAAACAGAAGCGTAGCCTATGGCAAAGAAAAGTGTTTGAGTTATCTAGTTATTGAAACACTAGAATGCAATTGACGAGTAAGAGAGTCAAGTTAAACAAGAATGGTGTCACAACTGAAGGGACCTTAGGGACTTAAGTATAGCAGGATTGGCAGAGAAGAAAGAAATGGGAAGGGTCCTGAAAAGGATTAACAACCAAGAAGCAGAGTATACAAGACCACTAGTGCCAACCAATCAAGAAAGATAAAGATGAAACAAATTCCTTTGGATTTGTCAGGTCAGAGGAGGGAAGCAGGCCCCGTACTTCACTGAGATCTGAGTCCTGGAGGCTGGAAGGGTAGTGATAATGGTGAAAACAACAGAGACCTAACTGGAACATTATATCTTACATGATTCCTTTTGCATAAAAAGGAAGTGTGATAGATGTTATTTATCAAACACATGTATGTTTCAGATTCTCTTTCAGTTAATAATCAGTCAGGCTATCTCCTGGTAGTGGTTGTTTATGTGCTGTGGGAGTCGGTTCTGACTCACAGCAACCCTGTATAGGGTTTCTGAGGATGCAAATCTTTATGGGAGCAAAAAGTCTAATTTTTCATTTCTGGAACATCTGGTAGTTTCGAACTGCTGGCTGTGAAATTAGCCCAAATCTTCCTTAACGTTTATTACCATAAAACATTTAAGACCGAACTGATGACCTTTTAGGTCAGAGGTGGGCAACATCTGGCCCAGGAACCATATAAGGTCATGAAATCATTTGGTCTGGCCCTGCCAAGGCAACTGCAGGTAGAGTTTGAAATTCAATAATTCTAGGAGCTATTTTCATAGCAACATAAACATAAGTGATATTATAAATATCCAAATGGCCCTTCACAGAAAAAACATTGCCCACCCCTGTTTTAGGTAGAGAATTTTTATAGATAGAGCCGTAACTATGCCAGAATATCATCATATCTTGATTTAGGCCTTTATCTAGAGCAGCAACAGTTTCAGGGAGTCTTGGTGTAGTGCTATAGGATAAACATTAGAATATTAACTGCAAGATCAGCAGTTCAAACCCACCAGCAGATGCTCGGAAACCCTATATAGGGTCACTATGTGTTGGAGCCGACTTGACAGCATATAACAAAACAACATGTCATTAGGTTTAAAGAGGCACCTGGTAAAGAACATAGACGTTTTCTTCAATTATGCCATCTTTGTGGTTTTTTCACTTCCTGGAACAGGGTGTCTCTGACTCTGTGAGGACTGGCTGGTTTCTGCAATGGTGTGTGAGAACGGCTGACTCCCAGGACACTGACCCTGACCTGTCATCATGGGGAGGTGAGTGATGGCACCCAATCACTGGAGCTATAAAACTGGAGATTTTGCTGCCACAGAAACGGATGTTGAGAGGTGGGGGAAAAAAAAAGAAAAATCAGAATCTCAAGTGAACAGTCACAAAAACAGATTGTAAGAGGGGAAAAAAACCCTTCAGCCCCAAACGAACCATGTTAGAAGTGGTTGTGATACACTTCTGTTGGCCTCCTGTATTCTTCCATGGCCCAGTGGAGTACCTGTTACAGAATGGTGATGGTGTAAACTAGATTATGCTGGGATTCATAGAGTTTACATTAAAGGTCACAGATGCTGGAATCTGAGAAAATAACTGGTTTGTAAGCCTCTGAGGTGTGGCGAAGGGATGATAAATTCCATGGAGTGACCTAGGCACCCAAATGGAGAGTAGAAGTGACAAGTGGTCAATTTCTTTGTAACAGGATACCTTCCCCTGCAGTGAGATACTTTGATCCGTGAAGCTCTCTCTAAAGGGAAGAACTGTAGAAGTGAACTGTACCACAATAAAATGCATTCCAAAGGCAATGTCTTTTTTTAAAGCCTATAAATAGTTTCAGAAAGAGCCTTTCATTCCTCATACAAACTGAGAAGAAAAGTTTCAGTTATTTGCAAAAATGTCTCATAAGAATCGTCCTAAAAACACTAGCATAGGGGAGAACAAACAAGATGGCGGATCGAGTGGACATATAGCAGAGAGCTCCGCCAACAACACAGAATACCCGAACGAGCAGGCTCGGGATGGTCCCAGAACTCTGAACCACATATAAAGGAATACTTACAAGGTTGGAAGGCTCACAGCTCGGGGAATTTGTGGCAGAAGCAAGAAATCTATTGCTTTCTAGTCCGGGCTGCTCGGCTGCACCAGGAGCCACCATCTTGGGTGAGACCACGTGGGGGAAAGATCAGAGCGGCCACAGACGCCTGGCAGAACCTCAGAGATAAAGATGTGGACATTCTTCTCTCTCGGTAGCTGTTCATTGGTCCCTTGGTGTCTGCGCACCTCCATTCTGGTGACTATAGGGGTGCCTGAGCTAGTGGACACCCCAGCCCCACCCTCCGGAGGGTTCTACTACGCATGCGCACAGATCTCCTC